GGGGTTAACCTTTCAGTTGGGTTTCCAAGCTTCTCAGTAATGTTTTCTTGGTTGCTGTAAAAACTGCCAATCTGAGAACTATTGTTTCTAGCTTCCCCTGGGTTAGAATTGGTGCCTGATCTGTAGTAGGTCTTTCCTCACATACTACGCAGGGGTTGTTTTCAAGGTGAGTACATCATTGCTTCTCATCCCACTGGTAGGAGATGGCCCAGTTGCTTAATGAGTTTAAATATATATATATTTCCATATGCTGCCCAGCTGAGATTGAATCTGGAAAAACTCAAGAAATCTTCCAATACTTTAAGTGATGGGACAGTCATTAAATCCCAGTGTCCTGACCAGATTGTAGTTTGGGTAATTACATCTTTTTGTTCAGTTCCCCTGCAGTGTTATTTGGGTATTGGATCTATAAATGGCCTCTCTGGCTGTTAAGCAGCTGCCACTTTCCACCCGCAAGGTGGCTTTGTTTTACGGGTGGGTGAATCAGTCCTTGGATATAGTTTGTGGAATGGTTAGGGAGCCTTTGGGATGAGAGTGTAAGTTAGCAACTTATAAATTTGTGCCTTATGGCAAGGGAGCTTTTATGCACCCCAAAAGACAGCTGTCCCTATAGACTCAGTAAATTATTGGCAGGATAGGACAAAGTGAGTGTTGTGGAGCGTTCACTTACTTCTTAGAAACAAATAAGAGGGAAAGATGGGAGAAGTGGCAGACATAGGCCTGAGCTGATTCAGTGTAGAGGAAAATGTGGGTAGAATAGAAGTGTGTGTGTGTGTATCTGTGCATGCTTGGTGAATGCCCATGCACACTGAGAGATTTACTGGAAATGGAGGAAGTCGCCTGGCAAGATAGTTGGGCATAGGTATTAGGAACATCACTCTAGAGAGAGCACCTTATGGAAGCATTTTTGTGAACACTTTGTTAAATATCTAATGGGTTCTTAACTAGGTCACACTCACCTGGAGTCTCTTCTCTTGTTTAATAGTCTGTGAATCCTTATATTGTGAAGCTGTCTATTGTGGATGATGAAGCCACGCTCAATGTGAGTATCTGGATCCTTGTGTATTGTTTTAATTACTTGCCTTTGGTGGCCTTACTTTTAGTAGGTATTTAGAACAGAGAGTAGAGAGCTATTGTGTTAATTTCATCTGGCTATAAAGAGGGAATAGGTATTTCTTTTTAGAGCATCAGTGCTACTGTCTTACTGTTTTCTATTTTCTCATCATGGAAGGAAGGTGTGAGGGGATATTTGCTTGCTAATCATGATGAAATGGTCAGTTATAGTTCATGTTGTAGTGTGCTGAGGTTGATTATCCTACAGAGTCAAGAAGTTACATTTCCAAGAATAAGATTTAGATGGATATCAAATCACCATGATATGCACTTTAAATATCTTACAATTTTGTGTGTCAATTATACCTCAATAAAGCTGAAATTAAAAAAAAAAAAGAAGGCTTAGATGACTAAATGTTGTGAGATTTCTTCTTGTAGAACCATCCAGATTATGTTTATAGCCTGCCTTGGTGAAACTGAAACATGGAGGATGATATCTGCTACGTATATCCATGGAGGTTTGGGAAATAACATCTGATCTCTGAATATAGGGAGGAAGAAGATGACCAGGTGTCTGGCTTTATTCTCTTTCCATCTTGTCCTCTTCATTCTTCTAATTTCTCTTCTGAAAAAAAAGCACACATGATTCATCCTTGTGGCCTTAATTGATCTTTGTGATACGCTTAGCAGTTTCTAGGGGGAAAGTTGATAAATTACTTTAATATTTATTGGATGCTTCTTCCCATTACATTCCTGTTTTCCTGTGGCCTGAGAGTAGCTTATCTTTGTTTTTAAAAATAAATTTATTTATTTATTTATTGTAGGCTTCATTGGGTCTTCGTTGCTGTGCACGGGCTTTCTCTAGTTGCCGTGAGCAGGGGCTGCTCTTCGTTGTGGTGCGCGGGCTTCTCGTTGCGGTGGCTTCTCTTGTTGTGGAGCACGGGCTCTAGGCGTGCAGACTTCAGTAGTTGTGGCACGCAGGCTCAGTAGTTGTGGCTCGTGGGCTCCAGAACACAGGCTCAGTAGTTGTGGCGCACGGGCTTAGTTGCTCCGTGGCATGTGGGATCTTCCCGGACCAGGGCTCGAACCCGTGTCCCCTGCATTGGCAGATGGATTCTTTTTTTTTTTAAATCAATGTTGGGGAAGCAATGACAGGTTCTTCATTTTTTTAAAAATTAATTAATTAATTTTACTTTTGGCTGCGTTGGGTTTTCATTGCTGCGCCCAGCCTTTCTCTAACTGTGGCGAGCCGGGGCTACTCTTCGTTGCGGTGTGCAGGCTTCTCATTGTGGTGGCTTGTCTTGTTGCGGAGAATGGGCTCTAGGTGTGCGAGCTTCAGTAGTTGGGGCTCATGGGCTCTAAAGCACAGGCTCAGCGGTTGTGGCGCATGGGCTTAGTTGCTCCGCGACATGTGGGATCTTCTTGGACCAGGGCTCGAACCCATGTCGCCCGCATTGGCAGGCGGATTCTTAACCACTGCGCCACCAGGGAAGTCCCTGCACCTTCATTTAATGTGGGACTCATTGTCACTTTTATTATGGGTTGTTTTAGAGACATTCGAGAGCTTTTTGTTTGAAGATTCTAACTCACTCTTTTCTTTTGAGGTGAAAATGGTCCCAGTGAAATTGTCAGTGGTCTGAGCTGGTCTGTTTCATCCCTTGTTACTCTATTTTAATTGTATCTGGAACCCTTAAGTAAGATAATTAGATCAGAAAAATCTTTCCAAAGAAGTTCCTTTTGATCCTTTGACAATGTCTCTCAGAATTCCTGTCCTTGTTGCCTACTTTCAGGTTGAACTTCTTGGGCTTGGACCATGGCGCTGTAATTAGTGTTTTCTGTGGTCTAGTCATAGTATCACCAACAGCCCCTTATTTCACCTGTGCTATCTTTTTTTCTCTCTAGGGAATGGGTCTTGTGATTGCTCAAGCTTTATCTGAGTATAACAGGTAAGTCCACCTTTCCAGAAGGGAAGGGTCTAATTTTCGTTTGAATTGGTTGAGTAGGAAACAGGTTTTTTAAGAGTTCTTGGGTGAACGTCTCTTACCTATCCTAGAAGGGTATTTAGAGGTACAGCTGCTGGCAGATGCATTTGTTCTAGCTGGGCTTGATGGCTTTAGCAGCAGTTGTTTTTAACACTGGGGAGAAGTAGCCACCATGTTAGTGTCCATCTTTTGTTTAAGCAACTCTTACATTCAAACATTCTTATGCAACCTTTGGTATTTTATTGCAGAGCATTTTAACTAGTTTTCCAGCCATAAGCAGGCTCTTCCATTTAGCCCAATGTATCATATAAATACCATTTTCTATGTAAAAAAGGTGGTGAAACACTGCTTTTTGTATGTTTAAAAAAAAAGAAAAGAAAGCACTGAATTAGTTCTAGTTTGACAGATACTTCTTTTTCATCAGTAATCAACTGCAGCTTCCTAGAGTCCCTGTCTGTTCTGGGGGCTCTTTTCATTGATGCTTGCTTTCCCTCTTACTAGGGATGGGGAAGGATTTGGTATTCAGTGAATGGAAACCAGAAGTGTATCTAATCCTGGCAAGGACCAGGCAGGATCTTTCTTACTCCTTTCCAGACTTTGCTTATACACGATTGGGTATTGGGATTTCAAATCTGTCCCATCTCCGCAAATAGTTTAGCTCACAGATTTCCCTCCTTTTCCTTCAAAAGCAAACAAGATTTTCACTGTTACAGCCTTAATTTTACTGTCACACTTTTCAAGTAATAGTCTGTTTGGGAAATAACTGGATCAGCCATATGTTAGAGCAGTTTCACACTTCTGCAGCTTGCTTTCTAAGACTCTCCCAAAGTAGCTGGGCATTTTGGTACACACTACCTCAAGAGCAGATGGGTGCCTCTTAGCTTGCAGGGGAAACTGCAGTGGCTGGGTTGTCATAACGCTTTTGTTTTTTGGAGTCAGTGAATTCTGCGAGTGAGCTGCTCTGATTACCACTTGGTATGCCAAGGACAAAGACACGTGATAAATAATACTAAAGTTGAATTTAGTTATTTTTGTTCAGGCAGTATAAAGACAAGGAAGAAGAACACCAGGGCGGTTTTTTCTCTGCTTTAACAAATATGGTAAGTCCTACTTGTTTTTTCTCTCCTGCTCAGAAATATATGAGATCTGCAGGGGTAGACAAATTTAGACTCAGAAGTTTATTTTATTTTATTTTATTTTTTGCCGTACGCGGGCCTCTCACCGTTGTGGCCTCTCCCGTTGCGGAGCACAGGCTCCGGATGCGCAGGCTCAGCGGACATGGCTCACGGGCCCAGCCGCTCCGCAGCATGTGGGATCTTCCCGGACCGGGGCACGAACCCGTGTCCCCTGCATCAGCAGGCGGACTCTCAACCACTGCGCCACCAGGGAAGCCCCAGAAGTTTATTTTAATTTTTTTCTAATATTTATTTATTTGGCTGCCCTGGGTCTTAGTTGTGGCATGCAGGCTCTAGTTTCCTGACCAGGGATTGAACCCGGGCCCCCTGCATTGGGAGCATGAAGTCTTAATCACTGGATCACCAAGGTTAGAATTTTTTTTTTTTCCAATTAATCAATTCAATTTTTTAAAGACAACAAAAACAAAAAAAGTGTTCATATTAAGCCAGACTTTTGCTTCCTAAAGAGTTGGCTCTGTTTGAGGACTGATGCTATGGAACACAGAATAGGAGGATTTAGATCCAAGTCCAACCCTGAGTGATCCTTCGCTGTCTGTAGTGGCCCTTTCATCTCTTGTAGTTGGTCCTGGAGTCGGGGGATCGGTGCAGTGATCTGAGCCACTCATCTAAAGACTTAAGGTCTGGGCTGAGAGGTCCATAGTTTAGGAAAGTTATTGGTTCAGTTTGCAAGACTCCTGAGCAAGGTATCTCAACCTTAGCACGATAGGCATTTTAGGCCAGATAATCTGGGACTGATTTTTAAGATATAAATCTAGGAGTCTTGGAACTTAGATTCAGAAAGTCTGTCTTCTTGGGCATTAGTATTCAAGTAATCAGCCCTAGAGCAAGACAGATTTTGAGTTCATTGCAAGAAACAGCAGTCCCCCCATCTTGTCCCCCAAAAGGCAACTTTTCCCCCACAATATCTATGCCTTCTTCATTCTCAGAGCCTACTGTCAAGGAAAGGACTTGATAAACTCTTTAACTGTGAAGCACAAATGGATAATCCCTCAGATGTCAGAGCAGTGTGAGTGCTGTATTGGTGTTTGATTAGATGAATTAGATATAAATATATTGCTCCCAGGGACCTTTGCCTTCTAGCCAAGAAGAAAAAGTTTTCTACCAAATAAATGAAGCTCCAGCTGCATGGTTTTGGGCATCAATAAGTAGGTGGAAAAGGTATTCTTAGATGGATGGGCATCTATCTCAGTGCCTCTGATATCACACATATTGGAGGCAATCTACTCCATTTACTTATTCAGCTGCCCTAGCTAGGACACAAACAAAAGGTTTTATGATGTAAAAGATGGACGGTAGGTTTCATTTAGACAGTTCTGGTCTGAAACCCAGATATTCCCCCAAAGATGGCTCTGTGTTGGATGAACAGCCTGCTTTCCTTGTTCTTTGTGAGTTAGTTCCTGACTTCAAATAAGCAAATTCAAGGGCAGATGCAAAGTGATGAGGATGTTTAGGTTGCCGTTTACTTGTTGTCAGTGGTTACTAAACTTATGCATTAAAAAGGAGAGCTGGACAAAAGTACTGGGATTGTTTTTTTCCTTTTTTAAGTCCCTTTAAGTAAAGACAAGTTAGGGGAGCTCTCATTGTTTCATTTATTACTTATGATTATTTTAAGATCTTCAAAGTGAGCTGGTTTTGTTGTGTGTGACTGGTGGGCCAGGGTTCCAAGCAGCTTGTTTTTTGACTGATTAAAGGCTTGTCGGTACAGAGCACCTCTCACGTTTCCCTGCTATAACTCTGCAATTCACCTTTTCTTCCACAGGTGGGCAGCATGTTCATAGCAGATGCCCATGAGAAAATCTCAGTGCAGTAAGTGGCTGATGTTCTTGTGCGGTGACTTGAACATTAGTGTGGGCTCTCACTGGATATGAAAGTGTGAAACGTTACCTCTGCTAATCTTTTACAGATTCAAACTTTTTTGGTGATTTATCAACTGTTTCTTGAGTTTTAAACAATAATGGAACCTTAGAAAACTCTGCTTCAGTCACATGTATTGAGCCCCAAGAAGCTGAAAAACTGTTCCCAGCTGTCTCTGGAATGAAATGAAAGAGGGCTTGGTGTCTGAGCCAGTTAAGGACTTAACTGGATTGGGGTGGAAGAGCGAGAGGGGGAAATAGTGAATGAAGTAGATAAGAACTAGTTCTAAGGAATTCAAGTTAAAGCTCTGACTGTATACCCTTTACATAAGCCCCAAAAGGAAATAAAGGGAGCATTAGAAACTCAAAGGGATTTATAATGAGGAGCTGGAGTGAAATCTTATCTTGAGGGTTATACTCTTTTAACTTCTTCATTATAAGAGACTCTCCAATTTGTTCTCTTTTTCTTTAGAACCAACGAGGCCATCCTTCTGGCACTTTACGAAGCTGTTCATTTAAATCGCAACTTTATCACAGTGTTAGCCCAGGTTGGTTATGTTAAAAACTTCAATTCTTTTTCTCCCTGAATTTCATACATGGCTGTGCCGTGTAAACCCTACTTTGCATTGGTGAGTGGTAGTTATAAAGAGTTGCCTCAGTTGCCTTTGCTTCATGCTCTCCTCAAATATGTATGTTTCCATCTGGTGCTGAAATGGATCTGATAACAGGCAAAGTTAATGGTCTTGACCAGTTTACTGATTCAGCTAAACAAATGAGATGAGATTACTTCATTTTGCTCACTGGAAATCCCTTGGTATTATCTGCCCATATGGATTTTTATAACAGGCTTTCTGCTTTCTAAACCTCTGTGGAATTACAACCGGAGATAAAATAGGCCACGTCACTTATCTTATTATCTTACCCATGTCCAAAGAAGAAGAGTACAAAATATCTTGTGCAGCGTAAGGTTAGCTGTTAACCAAAAAAAAGAAAAAAGTTTACAAATATTGAAAGCAGAAAGTCATAGAATCCTGAGTGCTGGATCACTTGCCTAAGGGATAGCCTCAGTAGTTGGTACAGAAGGGAACTTAAATAGGTTGAAAACTTGAGTGATGCTTATGAAAGCTGTCTTAAAAAATTGATAAAGTGTTTTTATTTTAAAGCCAGACTGTTTAAAATATGTATGAAGGTTTCTTTTACAGGAAAGTTTGCTTATGCTTTTTTCTCAAAGGGCAGATGTGTATGGGATCCACTGAGTTTCAATAACAAAAAAAATAAGGTCAAAAAGCAGTGTGCTGGTTTGAGGGTCTGGCTAAGAGGGACTTATCATTTTTCATGACTGATAACATGAGACTTTACCCACTATTCTCAGGGTGTTCCTTGTCTGCTCTTTGAATTCTCTAACTGATTTTAAAGGAAGAAGTGAGATGGGTAAAATCTGGTAAAGTTGTTGGGGAAGAGAAGGGAGTAGCCACCACTCAGCCCAATTTTCAAGAGCTGATGTGGCAGGGATGGCTAAGGAAGGTAAGGGAAAAAGGAGGTATCTGTTTTGGTCCCCAGTGGATGTCTCGCCCATGTCTCTGCCTCCCAGCCCCACACGCTCTTGTAAGGGAAAGAGGAGTTATCTGTTTTGGTCCCCAGTGGATGTCTCGCCCATGTCTCTGCCTCCCAGCCCCACACGCTCTTGTTTGTTGTGAAATGGGAAGGCTGCCCTCTGCATAGCTCTTTTTATAGTACCTGTTATCTCCTTGGCTCACCTGCATTTATTAGTCAACTATGTGGTCATTAGAACAGTCTGTAGATATGTTTTAGGTTGATCTGATAAGAATAGTCCCTTCTCAGATAGGTTCAAATAGGACAGCAAGTGCGCTTTTGTGTGTGTGTGGAATAATTCTGTGGTTTTTGTTTGTTTGTTTGTTTTGTTTTTACACGGGCCTCTCACTGTTGCGGCCTCTCCCGTTGTGGAGCACAGGCTCCAGACCGGGGCACCAACCCTCATCCCCTGCATCAGCAGGCGGACTCTCAACCACTGTGCCACCAGGGAAGCCCCAGTTTTTTATTCATATGGTTCTGCAGAAAAACTTATGTAATGGGAACTTAGTTGCTTAAAGAAAACTAGCCTGCAGAGCTTCTCATTAGAGTTTAGCAAGCATCAACAGTAATCAGGTACTCATAGGAACTAAATGTAGAAGGAGTCCCTCCTCAGTGAGCTTTCTGTCTAATTATGAGGCCAGGAATACCAGAAAGGATAAGCAGAGGATACCTAGAACTGGATTTTCTCTTTCTTACCCTTATCTGTGCTCTCGTTCAGAGTCATCCAGAAATGGGCTTGGTGACAACCCCCGTCGGCCCTGCTCCAGCAACCCCAGCCACACCGCTGGGGACCACACCGCCCTCCTCTGATGGTAAGTCCACTATCTCCTTTGTTTTCTTGACGAATATGATCTTGAAACTTTAGGGGTGAGCATAGTTCTTTTGGTTTCTTTGTTTTTTTTAACAAAAAGCACAATTGTTCATTCTTTTGCTTAAGAAATTATCTGAAGAACTGTCCTTCAGGATTCATGAAGCTCCAAAGAAAAGTCTGGAAAAGAGAGTCAAATGCTTTTTTCTGTAAAGAAGCTATATAACTCCAGCTTGTCCTCCTCAGGGAATGGTTGTAGAATCATGGAATGCTAGGTTTAAAAGGGACCTCAGAGGTCAGTGATGTCTGTCCTGCCAAACTGTCAGGGTACTTGTGAGGCTCAGATGAGATGTTTTATGAATATCTCACTAAAATAAATGTAAAATAGTAATATTATCTCTTGTTATCATTTGACAAATGAGAGAATTGAGGCCAGAGAAATAAGAGGTTTGCCTAAGGTTAGTGAGAGTTGAGACTAAAAACCACAACATGGGTCAGGGCTGGGACCATGCCTGTTTTGTTTACCACTAATTGCCCAGCATAGTGCCCACATGGTCACTGCTTAGTAAATATTTGTTGAATAAATGGATGAGAAAGTGAACCTGGGATTTGCTCACTGTTATGTGTCTGCCAGGTACACCCAGTTAAAAAATGACAAGTGCATAATAATTGGGAGTTTGCTGGGTGTTTAAGACTTCCCTCCCTAAAAAAATAACAAAAACATCTCCACTTACCACTGGCACTTAAGAAAAGGGTAACAGGAAAGAAATAATGAATTTTGCCTGATAAACTTTGTGTCAGCCTGTGTTAGTTCTATTGTCAGCTGGGTGTGTTTGATGGAATAACTTAACCTAAAAATAATCTTCATTAATATTTGATGTTTTGCCTCAAATGTTGACCTCATTTTGGGTAAAGAAGTACAGGAAATCTAACTTTGATCATTTCTTTGTGCCTCCCTCCTGGCTGTATGTGACATGACCGTCTTTGATCTGCTTTTTCTCCTTCAAAGTTTCATATAACACCTGTGGCATTAGCATTTCAAGATAGTACAAGCATTATTGGTACAAAAGCATGACTGGGAGGTGCCACTGATATTCAAGTCTATGGCAGCAAATTGGATCTGTTTAGAATTGAAAGTCAAATTCCAAAATACAGGTTTCCCCTGCTGTCTGAAAGTAGAGCTCTCATATGAAACCTTCTATAAGCCGAAAAGGCGTAAAGCAAAGAAGCAATTACCTGAGGACACATCTTGCTAACAGGTTTACAAAGGAAATCTACAAAAAGCACAGATGCTCACAGACACAGTTTAAAGCTGTGGTGGCTTGATACTTAGATGCTGCCTGTAGCTCCTGGGGAAGGAATTTGGTGGTGCCACTCTCAACTGCCTGGGATGCTCGCTGCCTCTGTTACAACTTGCTGCAAAACAAACGCTGAACATGATTTTCATTTTTTGCCTTTTTTCTTTCTTTCTCCCCCACGCCCCCAACTCTTGTCTCTTGTTACATTCATTTCTAGTTGTTAGTAGGTGGTAGGATTTTTTTTTTCTACTTTTCATCGTCTAAATGTGAGGGGAAAAAAATGGAACGTGTATACTTTCTTTAAATTTTTTTTCAGTTTTATTGAGGTGATTTGATATGCATATACATTGTGAGAGAATTCCCCCCATCTGTTTAATTAACACATTCATTACCTCACATATTTATCTTTTTATTTTTTGGAGGAGGTGAGAACATTTACATTCTACTCTCTTAGCAGATTTCAAATACAACATGGTGTTATCAACATAGTCCCCATATTTTACATTAGATCTTCAGATTTTATTAATCTTACAACTGAAATTTTGTACCCTTTTACCAACCTTTTTATATTTCCCCCACCCCTAGCCCCTGGCAACCACTATTCTACTCTCTGCTTCTATAAGTTTGACAGTTTTTTTTAGATTCCACGTGTAAGTGATGCAGTACAGTATTTGTCTTTCTCTTTCTGACTTCTTTCACTAAGAGTAATATTCTCTAGTCCATCCATGTTGCTGCAAATGGCAGAATTTCCTTCTTCCTTGTGACTGAATAATATTCCTTTGTGTATATATATATATATATATATATATATATATATATATATATATACGATATCTTCTTTATCCATTTATCTGTAGATGAACACTTAAGCTGTTTCCATATCTTGGCTACTGTGAATAATGCTGTAATGAACACGGGAGTGAAAATATCTCTTTGATATCCTGTTTTCATTTCTTTTGTATATATACCTAGAAGTGGGATTGCTGGATCATATGGTGGTTCTGTTTTTAATTTTTTGAGGAACCTTCATACAGTTGTCCTTAGTGGTTTCACCGATTTATATTCCCATCAACAGTGCACAAGGTTCGTTTTTTTCCACATCCCCACCAATACTTGTTATCACTTGTCTTTTTTTTTTTTTTTTTTTTTTTGGCCATGCAGCTTGTGGGATCTCAGTTCCCCAGCCAGAGATTGAACCTGGGCCTTCTGCAGTGAAAGCTCAGAGTCCTCACTGCTGGACAGCCAGGGCATTCCCTCACTTGTCTGTTGTTTTTTTTTTAAAATTAATTAATTAATTAAAAAATTGTAGTATAGTTGATTTACAATATTACGTAAATTTCAGGTATACAAATAGTGGTTCACAATTTTTAAAGATTATACTCTATTTATAGTTATTATAAAATGTAGGCTGTAATTCCTGTGATATATCCTTGTAGCTTATTTAGTTTCTATAGTAGTATGTACCTCTTAATTCCCTAACCCTATTCTGCCCCTCCCCACTTCGCCTCTTTTCTTTGTTTCTTTCTTTTTTTAAATTAATTAATTAATTAATTTATTTTTGGCTGCGTTGGGTCTTCGCTGCTGCCCGCGGGCTTTCTGTAGTTGTGGTGAGTGGGGGCTACTCTTTGTTGCGGTGTGCAGGCTTCTCATTGCGGTGGCTTCTCTTGTGGAGCAGAGGTTCTAGGCGTGTGGGCTTCAGTAGGTGGGGCTCATGGGCTTAGTTGCTCCGTGGCATGTGGGATCTTTCCAGACCAGGGCTCGAACCCATGTCCCCTGCATTGGCAGGCAGATTCTTAACTACTGCGCCACCAGGGAAGTCCCGCCTTTTTTCTTAAAAGTGGAAATTCTCTTGGATTTCTTTCCATTAGCGAAAACAGATACTAATGTAGGTTTTTCATAAAGGCGAAGTGGCTTATGTAAAAATGAGCTTTCGAAAAGCAGGGCACACCTGTATCTTAATGAGAAGGAACATGTAGCAGGATTGCCTTCTTGTCTCTTGTCACCAAATATTTCCAACGGAAATACTAATCTTTCTCTTTAACGATGAAGCCTGCCTGGTTACCATGGATATCAAAAGGCGTGTATGTAGGTGCGTGCGTGCGTGCGTGCGTGCGTGTATGTGTGTGTATCTGAGTTCCATGCAATGTTGGGGTTTGGATGCTTCAGAGAACTGCCTTTCAAACTGTTCATTGGGAACACTTCCACCCACACACTTGATTATGCAATGGCAGGATTTGTGCTTACTTACCTACAACCAGTGAGCTTTTATTTTTTCTAGTGGGAAGGTTGGAGTCAGCCCACTTTCAAGTGACTGTCTCCTTTGACAAAGGCTGCTGGGAAGAATTATGAAGCCAAAAATCAAGGAATAAACTCTTCCTTAGGAAGGAGATTTTTAATTTGTGAGGGATTTTATTCTATCTCTTCTATTTTGTTCTTTTTCTTCTCTCCTAACTCATTTCCTTTCTGTACGAGTCTAAGTATTATAACCCTGTTTTCAAGTTTTGGTTTTTCATTGGTTTTTAATATAACTGGTGCTCAGTAGCCTAGTTATATTTAAAGGTATGTCACTGGAGCCATTATTTTTTAAAAGCCAGCAGTTTAGCTGTAACATTTGTTCTCAGTTCAGACTTGACATTTGACAGCTCAGCCTTGGCATGAGAGGACTTTCCGGTAAACTAAAAATACATATACTTCTATATTTCTACATATTATATAAGGCAGTTTTTTCTTTTTTTTTTTTTTTTGGCCATGCAGCTTGTGGGATCTCAGTTCCCCAGCCAGAGATTGAACCTGGGCCTTCTGCAGTGAAAGCTCAGAGTCCTCACTGCTGGACAGCCAGGGCATTCCCTCACTTGTCTGTTGTTTTTTTTTTAAAATTAATTAATTAATTAAAAAATTGTAGTATAGTTGATTTACAATATTACGTAAATTTCAGGTATACAAATAGTGGTTCACAATTTTTAAAGATTATACTCTATTTATAGTTATTATAAAATGTAGGCTGTAATTCCTGTGATATATCCTTGTAGCTTATTTAGTTTCTATAGTAGTATGTACCTCTTAATTCCCTAACCCTATTCTGCCCCTCCCCACTTCGCCTCTTTTCTTTGTTTCTTTCTTTTTTTAAATTAATTAATTAATTAATTTATTTTTGGCTGCGTTGGGTCTTCGCTGCTGCCCGCGGGCTTTCTGTAGTTGTGGTGAGTGGGGGCTACTCTTTGTTGCGGTGTGCAGGCTTCTCATTGCGGTGGCTTCTCTTGTGGAGCAGAGGTTCTAGGCGTGTGGGCTTCAGTAGGTGGGGCTCATGGGCTTAGTTGCTCCGTGGCATGTGGGATCTTTCCAGACCAGGGCTCGAACCCATGTCCCCTGCATTGGCAGGCAGATTCTTAACTACTGCGCCACCAGGGAAGTCCCGCCTTTTTTCTTAAAAGTGGAAATTCTCTTGGATTTCTTTCCATTAGCGAAAACAGATACTAATGTAGGTTTTTCATAAAGGCGAAGTGGCTTATGTAAAAATGAGCTTTCGAAAAGCAGGGCACACCTGTATCTTAATGAGAAGGAACATGTAGCAGGATTGCCTTCTTGTCTCTTGTCACCAAATATTTCCAACGGAAATACTAATCTTTCTCTTTAACGATGAAGCCTGCCTGGTTACCATGGATATCAAAAGGCGTGTATGTAGGTGCGTGCGTGCGTGCGTGCGTGCGTGTATGTGTGTGTATCTGAGTTCCATGCAATGTTGGGGTTTGGATGCTTCAGAGAACTGCCTTTCAAACTGTTCATTGGGAACACTTCCACCCACACACTTGATTATGCAATGGCAGGATTTGTGCTTACTTACCTACAACCAGTGAGCTTTTATTTTTTCTAGTGGGAAGGTTGGAGTCAGCCCACTTTCAAGTGACTGTCTCCTTTGACAAAGGCTGCTGGGAAGAATTATGAAGCCAAAAATCAAGGAATAAACTCTTCCTTAGGAAGGAGATTTTTAATTTGTGAGGGATTTTATTCTATCTCTTCTATTTTGTTCTTTTTCTTCTCTCCTAACTCATTTCCTTTCTGTACGAGTCTAAGTATTATAACCCTGTTTTCAAGTTTTGGTTTTTCATTGGTTTTTAATATAACTGGTGCTCAGTAGCCTAGTTATATTTAAAGGTATGTCACTGGAGCCATTATTTTTTAAAAGCCAGCAGTTTAGCTGTAACATTTGTTCTCAGTTCAGACTTGACATTTGACAGCTCAGCCTTGGCATGAGAGGACTTTCCGGTAAACTAAAAATACATATACTTCTATATTTCTACATATTATATAAGGCAGTTTTTTAGTTATTGCTGTGTTTGAGTGGGGAAAAAAGTCCCACTAACAGTTAGATGCCTCTTTGTATTGGACAAAGGAATGATTATGGGCTCTGAGCTTCAGAATAGGCTGTAGATTGAAATGACAGTCTCAGGTCATTAACCCATAACATGAATTAAGACCTTTTAGTATTTCAACATAAAAATATATTTGTCTTTTATTAGTTCTTGGGGGCTGAACTGTGAGAAAACAGCCAAGGGTTAGGCATGTTAATTTCTTCTCATAAGGCTTTTTGCTGTGCTTGCTATGTATTTTGGATCCATAATATGCAAATGTTTCCCATTGTTAATAAATGTTCTCTGCATACATCGTAATAACTCTAGAGGGATTCATTATGGTTATGAATACGTATTATGAATAATATTATGAAAGCTATAGATTCTCTAGTTTGTCTGGGCTATCATGAGCTTCCTTTTGCTTATATATTATGTCTTAGACAGTGTAAAAGTACTTAACAAGATGTCTGAATCTCGTGTAAAGTATTAGAAACTTGGGAAATCTATATTAGGGCTGTCCTTTGTGGGTTAGCCCTAGTCTGATCCCTTACTGTTCATTGGGACTGTGACACAGAGAATGTGAGCAGGGGTAGTTTCTCTTGGAAACGTCAAGCAGCTAGTTATATAAAACTCTGTCCCAATCAGTAATGTCCACCTATCTTTAGTCTGGTATTCCTTTTCAGGTTCCCTTTCAGGTGGGGAAGGGATTAAAAAATAGTATTTGAGGGCTTCCCTGGTGGCACAGTAGTTGAGAGTCTGCCTGCCGATGCAGGGGACGCGGGTTCGTGCCCTGGTCCGGGAATATCCCACGTGCCGCGGAGCGGCTAGGCCTGTGAGCCGTGGCCGCTGAGCCTGCACGTCCGGAGCCTGTGCTCCGCAATGGGAGAGGCCACGACAGTGAGAGGCCCGCGTACCGCAGAGGCCACACCAGTGAGAGGCCCGCGCCCAAAAAAAAAAAAAAAAAAAAAAAAAAATACCCTTCTTAGGATGTTGGGAGAAAAGCACTGTTCTGGAGACTGGCATCCTTAGGTAGGAGAGAAGGGCATTGGGCTTAATCTTGGGGGTAGGAAGGGCTGTAGAGGCCTAGGAAGACTAGATAAAGGTTTTATGATAAGCACTTGGTCTTTCCTCTGTTGTGTAAAAAGATTATTTCGTGATTTCCTTGCCTGCTGGCAAGTTGGCTGTCTGTATAGGTAGAAGTGTTAGATGGAATATGTTATAGGCTAAATGCATTTCATCTGTTTTATTCCAGTTATAAGTTCTGTGGAACTCCCACTGGATGCAGATGTACAGACCAGTAATCTACTAATAACCTTCTTAAAGTATAGCTCGATTGTCATGCAGGACACCAAAGGTAAGGCATGCTACTTTGGGGGCTCAGGAAGCAGGAGGTGGCAGGTAGCTGCTTAGCTAGAGCAAGGAGCAGCATTAATATTTTGAAGCTTTGACAAGATTTACCATTGGGACCTCCTGTGCAAGGTGATGGTTCTGATTACTGGCAAACAGTGATTTCTCATTGCCGGATGACAATTAGATGGTGTTGGGGAAACCTGGAGCTGGAGGGGGAGTGCTCCAAAGTAGAACAGGAAAAAAATTGATCTCTACAAATACTAGCAAGTCTTCTTAGCAGATTTTGTTAAGTAGATGCAGACTCTTGTGTGTGGGAAGTGAGGGGATTAGCATGTTTCAGGGAATTCCCTTTTGAGGACAAGAACTGAAAACATCAGCTCATATTGAGAATTAGGACTGTTGTACAGAGTACGGTAGGAAGAGGTGCGATTCAGAGGGACTGTGTTCCTTAACACTTAAAACAGGAGTGTCAGTACCCATCCCTGAAATGCAGAATGGAAGTGGGAGAGAAATAGGTATTGGAAAAGTTTGAGTTTATTCTGTCTAGTGTCCTGTTCTTCCTCTGTTGATGATTTTTCTATGATCTTTTTTTTTTTTTTTTTTTAATTAATCCCTTCCAGGCACTCTCAACACTTCTCCTCCCATCCTCCTTCCCCACCGCTTTTTTTTTTTTTTTTTTTTGCTGTACGTGGGCCTCTCACTGTTGTGGCCTTTCCCGCTGCGGAGCACTGGCTCCGGATGCACAGGCCCAGCGGCCATGGCTCACGGGCCCAGCCGCTCCACGGCATGTGGGATCCTCCTGGACCGGGGCACGAACCCGTGTCCCCTGCATCAGTAGGTGGACTCTCAACCACTGTGCCACCAGGGAAGCCCTCTGTGATCTTTTAATCGGTGGTAGGGTAGTGGAATAGTTGGGCTAGAAGAAGGGATTGGGAGGAAGCCCAGCAAATTCTGTCTGGTATATACATCTCAGGATTTTTTTTTTTAAACCTAGTTTTTTCTTTATACCAGATTTATATGTTTACAATTTTTATTTATTTATTTCTATTCTATTTTTTATTGTAGTAAAATTTACCATTTTAACTTTTTAAGTGGCTCTAAGTACGATCCCATTGTTATGCAACCATTACTACCATCCATCTTTAGAATTCTTCATCTTGTGAAACTAAAACTGTACCCATTAAAAACTTATTCCCTATTCTTCACATTCTCCCCTTTTCTCAACCCCTGGCAACCACCATTCTGCTTTCTGTCTCTTTGGATTTGACTACCTCATATAAGTGGAATATATCCCAGTTTTAAGTTTCTCTGGAAATGAGCCTTTTATTTCATGGTGACACTGAGATAGCATTTTTCCTCCAATTTTTTAAATGAAAAAACTCCAGTAAACAGAGAAGCTGAAAGGGTCATACAGTGATCAGTCATATACCCATTAACATTTTGTCATATTTTGTTTATCTCTAAATTTCTGTGTTATTCTTATTTTGGCTGAATAATTTTAAAGTAAGTTGCAGACGTCATTCTACTTCACACCAGAAGTACTTCGGCATGTATCTCAAAATTAAAGACATTTTCCTAGATATCCATCATTAAGGCTAAGAAAATCAACAATAGTTCTTTTTTTTTTTTGGCCATGCCGCACGTCTTGCAGGATCTTAGTTCCCCAACCAAGGATTGAACCTGGGCCACTGCAGTGAAAACACTGAGTCCTAACCACTGGCCCACCAGGGAATTCCCAACAGTAATTCTCTAATATCATGTAACAGTCCATATTTAGTTTTTCCCAGTTGTCCCCAGAATGTTTTCCATAACCGATAGTTGTTTTTTTTCTTTTAAATAAATTTATTTATTTATTTATTTATTTATTTATTTATTTATTTTTGGCTGCATTGGGTCTTCATTGCTGTGCGCTGGCTTTCTCTAGTTGCAGCAAGCGCGGCTACTCTATGTTGTGGTGCGTGGGCTTCTCATTGCAGTGGCTTGACTTGTTGTGGAGCACGGGCTCTAGGCGCACGGGCTTCAGTAGTTGTGGCACACGGGCTCAGTAGTTGTTGTTCACAGGCTCTAGAGCGCAGGCTCAGTAGTTGTGGCACGTGGGCTTAGTTGCTCCGAGGCATGTGGGATCTTCCCCAACCAGGGCTTGAACCCGTGTCCCCTGCAGTGGCAGGCAGATTCTTAACCACTGTGCCACCAGGGAAGCCCATAACCAATAGCTTTTAAACTACACTAGCATTTTATTTTGTTTATTTTATTTTTATTTTTTCATTTTTTTTTATTCTTATTTTTTTTGCGGTACGTGGGCCTCTCACTGTTGTGGCCTCTCCCATTGCTGAGCACAGGCTCCGGATGCGCAGGCTCAGCAGCCATAGCTCACGGGCCCAGCCGCTCTGCGGCATGTGGGATCTTCCCAGACCAGGGCATGAACCCGTGTTCCCCTGCATCGGCAGGCGGACTCTCAACCACTGCGCCACCAGGGAAGCCCTATTTTTTCATTTTTAATAAATAGTTTATTTATCCAACAGTTTCAACCCTGATATTGAAGACTGTTGCAGAGTTTTGTTTTTTTAAAATAAATTTATTTATTTATTTTTGACTGTGTTGGGTCTTCATTGCTACACATGGGCTTTTCTCTAGTTGTGGCAAGCGGGGGCTGCTTTTCATTGTGGTGTGCACGGGCTTCTCATTGTGGTGGCTTCTCTTGTTGCGGAGCACGGGCTCTAGGTGTGCAGGCTTCAGTAGTTGTGGCTTGCAGGCTCTACAGTGCAGGCTCAGTAGTTGTGGTGCACGGGCTTAGTTGCTCCGCGGCATGTGGGATCTTCCCGGACCAGGGCTTGAACCCATGTCCCCTGCATTGGCAGGTGGATTCTAACCACTGTGCCACCAGGGAATTCCCGGTGGTGTGATTAAACTTGGTTTTTATTGTTCTTTTTTTGTGCTTTTCTGAATTAAAAAAATGTTTATAATGAAATATGCCTTATTTTTGTTTTCAGGAACAATTTTTTTTAAGTGGAGAGATAGCTGCAGGCTTTTCTACAAGTGTTGCTTATCAGCTTAAGGGGAAGGGGAGGATAGTGCCAGAGAAACTCTGGCCAGGAATAGGTAGAAGAGTCTTATGAATCTAATTTTGCAGGCAGAGGCATTTCTCTTCTGGCCTAGGGGCTCTGCTGTAAGCTACTGGGAATGTCAGGTAGGAGCATCATCATTACTCTTTGCACTGCCTATCACTGAGGAGAAGCAAATGTTATTTCTTTGACCACACCCTCATTATGCCTTCTGATTGTCAGGTTTTAGCTGATAGATTCCATCTTTGAGGAAGTAACAGGTTAGTGTCAGGGTGTGTACTGTTAGCTAACTTCTACAGCACTGTAATCCGTTAATAGATCTCTTCAGAATGGACTTTAGTCTGGGTCCTGTCAAAGCTAATTTGAAACATCATAAGCCATTTTTCTAGTTTGGATATGCTGGTATGACCTTCTCTTTTTCTTTTTAAAAAATATTTATTTCTCATCTGGCTTTGTCAGGTCTTAGTTGTGGCACGCAGGATATTTGCGTCGGCATGCGGGCTTCTCTCTAGTTGTGGTGCATGGGCTCTCTAGTTGTGGAGTGTGGGCTTAGTAGTTGCCACTCATGGGCTTAGTTGCCCTGTGGCATGTGGGATCTTAGTTCCCTGACCAGGGATCAAACCCCAGTCCCCTGCATTGGAAGATGGATTCTTAACCACTGGACCACCAGGGAGTCCCAATGACCCTCTTTTTACCTCCCTTTCACCCCTTCACCCACAAAGATCCTGGAAAGTAAAGAAGTTTTGATGGTTCTGGTAATTGGCAGTGATGGAGTAGCTCTTTCTGGGTCATTTGTTTGGGCTTAGAGCCCTGTTATTGAGGTTGCCTTCTTTTTTTTTTTTTTTTTTTTTTTTTTTTTTTGCTGTACGCGGGCCTCTCACTGTTGTGGCCTCTCCCATCGCGGAGCACAGGCTCCGGACACTCAGGCTCAGGGGCCATGGCTCACGAGCCCAGCCGCTCCGCGGCATGTGGGATCTTCCTGGACCAGGGCACGAACCCGTGTCTGCTGCATCGGCAGGTGGACTCTCAACCACTGCACCACCAGGGAAGCCCTGCCTTCTATTTTAATAACAAGAATGTGAGTTCTGGGAGACCACAGAAACAGGGAGACCTTTGGAAACAAAGGGCATAGCCCTGACTTGGGCCATGGTATTAGTGACCATTACAATAATTGGATGGTTCTCAGGAAGATGGTTAGCTATCCATCAGACTACCAGACTACTTACGAAAAAAATCTTATGGGGGAATTCTTTTGCCTAGAAGAAAAGCAAGGATTACTCTAGTAGAACCTTGATTTTCATTCATGAATTTTGTGGGGAGAGAAAGTGTGAATGTTCTTTTTGATGATACACATCTTTATTCTCTATACAAACATGGTCTGGATGAGTTAGAGAGAAGGGTTTATTTTTTCTTTTCAGATGAGCACCGGCTTCACAGCGGCAAACTCTGTCTGATTATCCTCACGTGTATTGCAGAGGTAGGTCTCACCCGCCTTCTGGTATTAGCTAATCTCTCAACAAAGTGCTGTCTCTTTCTGCGCTTCTTCCAAGTTCCTGTCCCCTGACTTTTAGAGTCCTAAAGTTTAGGAGAGAAAATCTTCCCACTTTATATTATCTTCTCCACTAGAATGTAAGCACCACTAGAATGTAAGCAATAGGAGGTACTGTGTCTTCTTCACCAGTGTATTCTTAGTGTCTGGCACATAGTAGAGGCTCAGTATTTACTGCATGACCTAATAATGAATTGTGATATGATAACTGCTATAACTGGAATATTCTAGTTCTTTTTTTATTTTATTTTTTTAAGATTCTAGTTCTTCAGAGTTTGAAACTCTGAAGAGAGTTATGCCTCTTCAGAGAAAACAGTCCTGCCCTTTTGAAACTGTTCATGTTGGGTCTTTTGCATTTAGCAAAATGAGAAAAGGAGCTCAGGTTTCTGTGGGGAGAGGTGGAGACAAAAGCCAAAGAGGGGCATTGGAAACTGAGTAAACTGGGCTGACTGCAGTTTGATGAAGAACAGGAACCCAAGGGGAAAAAAGAAGAGATGCTTGGGCTTTGTAAGGAGATACTTTTGGTTGGATTAATTAGGCCTGAACTCACCCTAGATCTTGGTGGCCACACAGGTATGGCAGAAATTAAGTCAATTTAGAGCTAAATTTGTAGTTCCAGACTCCTCCTTCACTTACTCCTTACTCTGATCTTTTCTCTCCTAAGAAAAACAATTAAGGTGTGGTCCATGTAGAATAGAGATCTCTCTCAGTCTTTCCATTTTTATGTTCTTGGTGAAAAGATGACCTGCTTTTCACCAAGTTAGGGGTAGCTGGTTATAGAAGAGCTGCTTATTAGCAGTGGGCCTGGTGTAATTGCTTTTCAAAAATCTTTCTAAGAAAATCTTTAAAGGAGTTGTTTTTCACAAATGGTAACAGTTCCTAGGAATTGGAGTCTGTAGGCACATCAGATCTTCAGAAGAGATGTTGGGAAAGGGCCAAGGGATGTTTATTACTGATTCATGGTGAGAGGTTTTTGATTTTCTATCAGTCTTCAGCAAAGTCAGGGAGAGACGGGGTCTTACCTACTGCCATGTTGCCTGTGTAAGCAGCTTTCTCTTGCTGTGCCAAGCCCGTTCCCGGCAGAGTGCAGACCTTTCTTCTTAATCGTAGATCCTCATGTGGAGCCTGCACATGTATCCTGCAGTCCCTATGAAAACCTTCAAGCTTTCACAAACAGAGCAGGCTCCTTGGGCAGATGGGAAGGAAGAGAGAATAGGAAAACACATTCCTCTCAGTGTTTGCCTCAAGTGCCTGTGCCTTAATTTGCCTAGAGATTTTTGGCCAGTTAGAGACACACTGGGAAATTACACCCAAGTGAAATGTTATGGCTTAAGTGGGGCTCGACATAAAGGCTCTAGGCTCATCCCATTAGCTCTCTAACTGGTCCTTGAAAGGAGTTCTTTAAGTCCTACAAATCCTTGGACTTTAAGATTGTAGATTATAGATAGATTATAAACTGAGTTTCTTAAGTATAGCACTCATTCCTTACTTTCTATCTATGTTTTTATTTTTATTAGGATCAGTATGCCAATGCATTTTTGCATGACGACAACATGAATTTTCGAGTAAACTTACACAGAATGGTAAGTGTGACTTTTGCTTCTTGTTTTTTCTTAGAGGAATTTTTCTGCCAACACAAAATTGATCCTACTAGAACAAGTGTGGGCAGAAATTTATGCTAAAGGGCTCTTGCTTAACTGCTGTTCAGAAGACCCATACTAGTTGTTGGAATTTTTTGTGTGTGTCATGGAGGTGTTACCTGCTCAAGAGAGGGTGGAAAGATCCATAATCGTATACCCATGGCAGTAATAGTAGAATGTATCTGGGAACTTCCCTGGCAGTCCAGTGGTTAAGACTCTGCAGTTCCTCTGCAGGGGGCATGGGTTTGATCCCTGGTCGGGGAACTAAGATCCCACATGCCACCCGACGTGACCGAAAACAAACAAACAAACAAAAAACAAAAAGGGACTTCCCTGGTGGCACAGTGGTTAAGAATCCGCCTGCCAGTGCACGAGACATGGGTTCGATCCCTGGCCCGGGAAGATCCCACATGCCACGGAGCAACTAAGCCTGTGTGCCACAACTGCTGAGCTCATGTGCCACAACTAATGAAGCCTGCGTGCCTAGAGCCCATGCTCCGCAACAAGAGAAGCCACCCTGATGAGAAGCATGCGCACCACAACGAAGGGCAGCCCCTGCTTGCGGCAAGTAGAGGAAGCCCACGCACAGCAGCGAAGACCTAATGCAGCCAAAAATAAATAAATAAAATAAATAAATTTAAAAACAAACCAAAAAAACCCCAAAAGTATATCTTGACTAGAGATATACTTTTATACAAGTATATACAAGATAGAATGTATCAGTAATGTAGATTTCAACAAGGAGATGGGCCTAAGCCTTTTGCTTTCAAAATGTAGTACGATCTTTGATTGGTTGATGCTAGATCCTGCTTTGATTTATTCATCTGAGAGGTGGGGGAAATAAGAGTATGAAGGATCAGGGAATTTCCTAAAACTTGGAGGTATGTTCAGAAATATCACATTGAGGTTTATATTAAAACTTTCTTTAAAAAAAAAACTTTCTTTTTAAACTGCTACTGTTGCTGCCTTTACACAGTCACATTTTCTTCTTTTTAAAATAAATTTCTTTTTATTTATTTATTGGCTGTGCTGGGTCTTCGTTGCTGCGCACGGGCTTTCTCTAGTTGCGGTGAGCGGGGTCTACTCTTCGTCGTGGTGCGCGGGCTTCTTACTGTGGTGCCTTCTCTTGTTGCGGAGCACGGGCTCTAGGCACGCGGGCTTCAGTAGTTGTGGCACACAGGCTCAGTAGTTGTGGCTCACGGTCTCTAGAGTGCAGGCTCAGTAGTTGTGGTGCACGGGCTTAGTTGCTCTGCAGCATGTGGGATCTTCCTGGACCAGGGCTTGAACCCGTGTCCCCTGCATTGGCAGGCGGATTCTTAACCACTGCACCACCAGGGAAGCCCCCAGTAGTGATTTTATTTGCATGAAAAACATGATGGTGAGCCATTGGATGTTAGTTCAGATGTCTACTAGTTTCATTTCTTTTTTATGTGAAGCCTATGAGACACAGGAAGAAGGCAGCAGACAAGAACCTTCCCTGCCGTCCTTTGGTATGTGCAGTACTGGGTGAGTATCATCAAAATTGGCATGTTTCTGGGCCAGCGATAGGTTTTCATGATTAAGATGAGGGATAGATCCTGGTTGATGTGTGCTTCCTCCTCAGAGAAGAAGTTACTGGTTATGTTTCTTCCCTGGCCTAAGAAACCATGTTTCTTGTTGAGTTTGGTAAAGCAATCCCAAGGAATATAATGCTCAATTGAAAGGTGCTCTTGTTCAAAGAAAAAGATCTTTGTAGGGAGACAAATGTCTAAGTCTAACCTTGATACATGATTTAAATTTGTAAACTGTCTTACACCTGATCAAGATTTCAAATTCTTCCCTCCCTTTCTTGGTCCAAATTGTGTGTCAGCTGGCCAGGAGGCTTAAAGTTCAAGGTTGAGACATATGAAATTTCTTCTGAGTAAATTAAGCTGAGAGAAGGCTGACAGAGCTGACAGCTAAGGGGCTGTATTGTAGGTAATTTAGTCTGCCCAGAATTCTGCATTTTCCTCAGGTGAATGATCTGAACTCTTAATCCCATTTCACCTGGGTATTCAGCCCTACTTCCTAAATCTACTTGATTTTAGACACAATAATTAAGGCTATATGATATTAAGCCTCTATTGACCCAAAGCTCCCCAGACCATTTCAGTCAATACCTGTCAAACTGAGTGTGATAGGAAGACGAGATAGACTGACATAGCTTTAGAGTTTGAGTCTGGTTACACCCATAGTTTTTTTCTCTGCTTGCCTCATCACTTGGTTCTCAGAATATGATTTCCTTTTGGCATTTTGCATTAGTGTCATGGTATGAAATATCTGTACAATGAAATGTCCCTTGTATCTGAGTTTATTGGCAGGTCAAAGTATCCTTCTGGAAGTAGGAGAGAACTAATTTTCTTGTTACCTTACAAGTGGCAGGTGGTGAAAGTGTTGCAAAAAGTGCCTTATATAAAATAAAGTGCACTGAGAAGGTTTTTTTCCCAGCCCAAAGGCAAGCAATGAATTTCATTCTGATTGATCTAATTTTTCTCTTTTTCCCATTCAGACCTGATGGTAGAGTTTATTGTAACACACATGATGAAGGAGTTTCCTATGGATCTCTATGTGTAAGTACCATGGTTCATTTAATGTGTGCAAATCTGTTTTATAGAATGGAGTGATGGGAAGTTTAACAGTCACAAAATTTTTATGTACACTTCAAGAAAAGCACATTTATGTGTGGAGAAGTGTCAGGGAGTGTTTTATGGCCTGTTTTATACATTTTTCCAGAAGGGGAGAAAAGTACAAACTACGTATCTTCATTATCACTTTTAGGCACACTGCATGAAGAACAGGGCTGATGCGTTGAAGCAGTCAGTGATCATAGGTGACTCCTGTATCCAAGGATATGGAATACTAGCAGACCACTTAGTCATCCCTGGGCTTTGGCATCAAAGGAGTCAGCAGTATTTAAAAGATATGGAAAGGCCAGAGGGATAGATCTTTTGGTTCATTCTTAGCCTACATTGTACTAGCAACATAGTCAGAACTCTGCTAGCTAGGCAGATTATGTATATAGTGGCCAGGCTGGGAGATTCCTGCCTCCTGAGGAGATCTGATTGTCTGTCACCATTCTTTACAACCAGTATAACTAGAGATGACTGAAAACCTTCATATTTTAATAAAGTTTAAGCCTTTAGGCTTTCTCTCTTTGCTATTTCAGCATTCTTCTTATCGTCAATGCCTAACAGCTGTGCCATGTTAGTGTGATCTCAAATATATGTATTATCTTTATTCCTTAAAATGCATCTGAATTCAGTCTGACAACAAAATTAGTACCTCCACTTTTTTGAGTAAGAGAGAAGTTTGGTGCACAGCAAGCTTAGTGTACCTCATTCCAATGCTAGGCCTGGGATCTAGGGAGATATGAAAGATTTTACTCTGACTAGAGTAGATCTCCAGCTTTTTAGACTGTTTGTAGGCTACATATTTTTCGTTTCCTAGATATGAAATAATGATAAAATTTTACTTTTAGGTAAGTAAGTTGTGGTTTGCATTTTTCCATATCTTTTGGGTGTTTAAAAGTTAGTCTGATCCTTTATTTCAACTCAAAGACCATGAAAAGCTGCTTTTTTTTTTTTTATAACACTTACCAGATGAGTTTTCTGCTTGTTTTAGATAGGACCGCTGAACATCAGTACCTCAGGGATCAGATTTGTTTTGCTACAGATTATATTTTTAGCTTGTTTATCTAATGTTCTAGTTCTAGGATATGCTCTTTATGTTGTACTATATTATTATAGTCTTAGTTTTCTCATTTTCCAAGCAAGGAAACTGAGGCTCTGGAGGTTGGGTTATTCTGTTAGTAAGCACCATTGCCTGGACTTGAACCCAAAGTTTCTTATAGTAAATCCTAAGCTGTTCCCACCCCTTCTCAGGTGTATTATCTATTGCTATGTAACAAACTACTTCAAAACATAGGGGACAAACATTTACTACTTCATAGTTTTTGTGGCTCAGAAATCCTAGCAGTTTAGCTGGGTAGTTTGGGCATAGGGTTTGGCAGAGGCTGCAGTCAATGTGTTAGCTTTACTGGGGCTCTACTGGGCTGTACTGGGGCTGCAGAATTGCTTCCAAGCTCACTTACATGGTTGTTGGTAAATCTCAGTTCCTTGCCCTGTGGGCCTCTCCATAGGGTTGCTTGACATGGCAGCTGGCTTTCTTCAAAGCAAGTAATCCAAGAGAGAAAGAGAAGAGTGAGAGCCCAGGATGGAAGCCATAATGCCTTTTATAACTTAATCTCAAATGGCATGCCATTTCTGTTGGTCATACAGACCAAGCCTAATACAGTGTGGGAAGAGACTCCATAACGTTGTGAATGCCAGGAGGTGGGGACCATTGGGGGCCATCTTGCAGGCCGGCTACCACAGTTACCTTCCTAGTTAAGTTGCATCACCAAGATTCAAACTCAAGTCTGTCTGACCCCAGAGGCTGTACTCTTTCTTAACTACTACTATGATAAATGACAAAGGAAAGATTTGTACGGGGTGACTAATGCTCACTGGGGCATCAGAGGGGGCTGTGTTTGACCTGAGTCATGAAGAAACAATAGGAGTTTTCTATGCAGAGGAGTGGGGGAGGGACATCCCAAGCAGGGGACCAGCATGTTCAAAAGCTTGGAGACTTGAAAGTGTGGCATATTTGGAGAATAGAAAGTAATTCAGGAGGATTAGAGTGTAGGGTACATGGAAGAAGGATAAGAGAGTAGAAAAAATGTTACCTGATTTAAGTGGATGATGGGTGTTAACAGTTGAAGATGAGGATGACATGATAAGACTGTGTATTCAGTACTTAGAGTTACGGTATGTCACTGTCCACCCAAACCCTCACATCCCAGCCAGTGAACCTGATCTACACTAAATATTTTAACTCCTTCTCCCCAGTAGTTCCTGCCTTTTTTTGTTTTGCCTTGCTTTCTCAGTTCTTTTTCCACCTGCTTCCTAATTGAATGTCCTGAGGTTAGGGAAGATGGAGAAGATAACAAGCTGACAGAGGCTGGGCAGAAGTTCCTACCCTCAGGGTGAATTCACTTTCTTCATTACTACCCATGGGCAGTTTCCATAGCTCCCTCCCCCAACTTCCAGCCTTCTTTCCAGTTTTTGACATTTGGAGCATCAAGTCCTTTTTAGGTGAACTTATCTGCTCCGAGCTGGGCATCAGGCCAGGTTGCTGCTCTCACTTCTCATTATGTACTGCTTTTCAGCAACATACAGCGCAATGAGAAATTGAAAGCAAAATGAATTTCTACCATTTCAGATAAGTGTATAATCTTCCTGGTGAAATATGAAGAAATATGGAGCATGGAAAGACTTAATACTCAAGTCAGAATCTGTGTCAGAAACAAAATAGTCTCATGTCTGTGTATGAATGCTGTAGGTAAAGTAATAATGGGGGAAGGTGCTTATACGAAAAAAAAGAAAGAAAGTACTGCTTACTGCCTGGAGCAGTAAGAGGTAGGAAAACCCAACAAATGAATTTCTTCTTCTGGATGTCTACTCTGTGATTCTTGCCTCCACTCCCACTGCTGGCCCAGGATTTGGGAGTTAGGGGAAATAGTCTCTGGGGAGAGTAAACTCTCCTTTAAGTTACTCTTACATGGAAAACTTGGACTCTTTCTAATCAGGGATTCTCAGACCTGTGGGTAGAGACTTCAGTGGACCCCACAAGAAGATTTCAGGTTAAAATGGAACTGTCTTGTGTTGAAATAGGAAACCACTACATGCATAAAAGAAACACCCTAAGCAGTCAGTTTAGAGTCATTCAGCCAGTATATATATATATATATATTTATATGTATATATATATTTTTAATATATTTTAAAAATTATTTATTTATTTATTTGGCTGTGCTGGGTCTTAGTTACAGCATGTGGGATCTTCGTTGCAGAGTGCGGGATCTTTAGTTGCAGCATGTGGGATCTTTTAGTTGCAACATGCGGGATCTAGTTCCCTGACCAGGGATTGAACCCAGGCCATCTGCATTGGAAGCGTGGAGTCTTGACCACTGGACCACCAGGGAAGTCCCCAGAACTGAATTTTTAATTTAACTTTTAATGTAAATAAAGTTTACATTTTATTTAAAATTTAATTTATATTAAAAACAAATTTAAATCTAAAGACTTAAGGTCTTTAATTTTATGTTTTTGCATCCTATGTTTGCAATTTCGAATGGAGTAGTCTAATTTTGGTCTAGTGGTGCATCCTTCCTCTCAGGAAAGATACTCAAGGGAATGGTATCAGTAGTGCCTAATTGAGTATTGACCTATATGTGGTTATAGCTCCCTTTTCCTAGTGATAGGGGGAATTAGCACAAGCAGTGTGTGTGGGATGGGGAGGTGGGATTTTTTTTTTAACATCTTTATTGGAGTATAATTGCTTTACAATGATGTATAGTTTCTGCTTTATAACAAAGTGAATCAGCTATACATATACATATATCTCCATATGTCCTCCCTCTTAAGTCTCCCTCCCATCCTCCCTATCCCACCCCTCTAGGTGGTCACAGAGCACCGAGCTGATCTCCTTGTGCTATGCGGCTGCGTCCCACTAGCTATCTGTTTTACATTTGGTAGTGTGTATATGTCCATGCCACTCTCTCACTTCGTCCCAGCTTACCCTTCCCCCTTCCCAGGTCCTCACGTCCATTCTCTACATCTGTGTCTTTATTCCTGTCCTGCCCGTAGGTTCATCAGAACCATTTTTTTTTTTTTAGATTCCATATATATGTTTTAGCATATGGTATTTGTTTTTCTCTTTCTGACTTACTTCACTCTGTATGACAAACTCTAGGGTCCATCCACCTCACTACAAATAACTCAGTTTTGTTTCTTTTTCTGGCTGAGTAATATTCCATTATATATATGTGCCACATCTTCTTTATCCATTCATCTGTTGATGGACACTTAGGTTGCTTCCATGTCCTGACTATTGTAAATAGAGCTGCAGTGAACTTTGTAGTGCATGACTCTTTTTGAATTATGGTTTTCTCAGGGTATATGCCCAGTAGTGGGATTGCTGGGTCATATGGTAGTTCTATTTTTAGTTTTTTAAGGAACCTCCATACTGTTCTCCATAGTGGCTGTATCAATTTACATTCCCGCCAACAGTGCAAGAGGGTTCCCTTTTTGGGGAGGGGGGATTTATCTACCAGAAAGCTGCAGGTAGAAGTTCATTTCTTTCCCATGTGTACAGATTCATATCCAGTGTCTTTTGTGGCCTTAGCAAAAGCTGCCTCATTAAAGAAAGGGTATCTGTGGTGAGTTGCACCGTATTTTTAGGCTTATTCCAGTTTTTCTCTTTTTCTCTTACAGGCGCTGCATTCAGGTAGTACATAAACTACTTTGCTATCAGAAGAAGTGTAGAGTACGCCTGCATTATACCTGGCGGGAGCTCTGGTCAGGTAACTTTCTCTTTTGAATTCATCCTCTTTTCCTATATCTTTTTTTTTTTTTTTTTAACAAATTTATTTATTTATTTGTGGCTGCACTGGGTCTTCGTCATTGCACATGGGCTTTCTCTAGTTGCGGCAAGCGGGCTTCTCATTGCAGTGGCTTCTCTTGTTGCAGATCACAGGCTCTAGGTGCACGGGCTTCCGTAGTTGTGGCTCACGGGCCCTAGAGCACAGGCTCAGTAGTTGTGGCGCACAGACTTAGTTGCTCCGAAGCATGTGGGATCTTCCCACACCAGGGCTCAAACCCGTGTCCCCTGCATTGGCAGGTGGATTCCTAACCACTGCACCACCAGGGAAGCCCCTTCCTATATCTTTTTTTTGTTTGTTTGTCTTTTTGTTTGTTTGTTTGTTTGTTTTTTGCAGTACGCGGGCCTCTCACTGTTGTGGCCTCTCCCGTTGCGGAGCACAGGCTCAGGACGTGCAGGCTCAGCGGCCATGGCCCGCAGGCCCAGCCGCTTCGCGGCATGTGGGATCTTCCCGGACTGGGGCACGAACCCGTGTCCCCTGCATCGGCAGGCGGACTCTCAACCACTGCGCCACCAGGGAAGCCCTCCCTTCCTATATCTTTTATGAACCCCTAGGCCTGGGCACAAGCTGAATTTTTTTTAAAAACTTTTTAGTTTGTTTAGGATGCTTCTATTTTCAACTCTTCTTTTTGTCACTTCAGCCTTGTTCTAATCCAAGCCTGGCCATGTCACATACCATTATTTCATACTTTCTCTCTTGTTCCTTCTCCTCCTTGTAATTTTTGTCAGCTGGTAGAAACAAATATTTGAGTTCCATTGATTCTTCCAATGAGGAGTCAGTACAAACTTGGATTCTCCCTTGGTTCCATTTGGTAGCAGCATATGGACTATAGGGAGGCTTCTGTGTGTTTCCTCAGGATGAGTAATCTCAGGAGGAATGTCTTAGGGAGAGGAGGTGGGGAGGGGGTGGAGAGATGGGGGGGAATCCTGTTCTTTGTGTTATATCTGGCATTATTACTGTTTACAGACAGTGTCAGTTTTACCACTCCTCCTGTGCCAGAGACAAAAACAGCAAATTAGTGTTTACTTTTGTCTTTGTATCCATTTGGTAGCTCAGTAAAGTCACTCCACCCCTGTAGGAGGAAAGTGGCTCTTCTCTAAGGGTACAGTTAATGCTGGCTTGCCACCCATTTCTTTTGTGCAACTAAATTGGAGGTTTCAGAAAAGCAGAGGAGACATTTTTCTTGAGGCATTTGCTTGCTGATAGGTCCTGTGGCTTTTGTGACCTGATGGTACAATAAAGTCTTCTCCAGATGATTATAGTGGTAAATTGTTGCCCCACCCTTGGGAGAGCTTCTCTGTATTCTGAGCAGACAAGGGTGTGTTAGTGTCAGAGGCTTTATGAGAAATGGGTCAGTAACCCCACACCCTCCCATGGAATTCATCTCACTTGTTGTGACACATGGTTTCCTCCCAACCCAATTTGGCTTTCTAAATTTAGTCCTTCATAATGGAAAGTAGAGATCTTTAGTTAATGGATTAGCAAGGTTTTTGCAGTTACTGCCTATGGTGGTGAAGGGGGAGTTAGGAGAATAACAGTAAGTGGCAATAGTGGCATTTTGATATTTTAGGAGAAGAGTATGATTATGTGAGAGTTTGAAATTGAGGGAATGTCAGAAGAGCTAAAGAGAGATCAAAAGAGATTGAAATGACTAAAGTTAGTAGAATTTCTTAGGTCAGAACAGTGCTTTTTAATATTAAGGACTATTTGGTTGCCTGTGGATAGTTGTATGATTATTAGGTTCTAAAAATTTAGGATTAAAGAGAAAACACAAAAATGATGCAAATCTCTGGATATTGGTATAATTGTAGGACTTATAACAAGTACAAATGGTTTATGTCTGTAACTGTGATGAAGTTATACATTGTAGTACTAAAGAGTTGGTGGTAGTAGTTATTATTTCTGCCTGCCTTTGATCCTCTTCTGGTTTTATTTTCTATTTAATTCTATTTTCTTTTCTTTCTATGCCAGCCACCCTGTCTCTGGCCCCTGGGATCTCTCTGGCTTTTCTCCTATCCTCTTCATCTGTTGTCCTCTTCCTCATTGTCCTGTCGTTGCCTTTTCCATTGCATTCTCCCGTTCACTCTGGTCTGTCTCCCTGGGGCCCAGGGCTTCCCATAATTCTCCTACCTCCACCTTGCATTCTGTCCTTTGTGCTATTGTTGTCATACATTTTACTTTTGCATATGTTATGAACCCCAAAATACATTTCTGTCATTTTATTTAAAGAGGCAATTATCTTTTAAAGAGATAAAAAAGTGTCTTTTATATTTATCTTTTCTGGATCTTAGCGTTCACTAACCTAGCTAGAAAACTATGTGGCAAGAGACCATTCTTTATCCTATGTTGGTCAGTTGACTTTATTTCTTTGAGTACTTTATGTCATATTCAGCTCTGTGTATAATTATTTGCTATCTTGGGACTTCCCTGGCAGTCCAGTGGTTACGACCTTGATCCCACATGCCTCCGAGCCAAAAAACCAAACCAAAAAAAAAAAAAAAAACCCCAAAAAAAAAAAAAAAAAAAAAAAAACAGAAGCAACATTGTAACAAATTCAGTAAAGACTTAAAAAAAATTATTTGCCACCTCAAGACTGACTGACTGGCATTCTAAGGGCCTTGATACTTTGAGAGGAGGTGTATATGAGTGTCATTGATGAGAGTTGGACGGCTGCTTTTTCCTAAGGCATAGGCATTTGTGCTATAGTTCTTTGCCAAGTGAGGTTAGCTCTTTTTCCTACGTAGACTGGGTGAGCCCTCCTGGAACCTGGCTCCCTGTGTTCATACATGGAGTATATACAGTGAGATGCAGAGCAGCAGGTGTTAAGGAAAGCTGCAAAATACTAGACTACATCTGATGCATCCGAGCCTATAGTAATGTATAATATTGCAGTCAGTGAATATAAATGTGGCTGTGGAGGACCCACCCACTCCTTGGCTGGTACTGCCCCTCATATGTTGGCTTGCCCGTGTTTTCACTCTTTCTTTGCCTTCTAGACTTATGGATTTGAGGGAGGTGTGTGAAACTCATCATGGCAAATATGCTTATGCGTACAGATACTTGCCCATACATGTGCTGCAAACATTAGTTGAATTATACTTATAAATAAAACTGGTAGGGCATGTGTTGTCAGGTCAGACACACGGGAGACGTAGGGTGTCTAGGAAGCAGTGGACTGGGGTGCAGATGCCTTTTGTTATTTGGAATGGGGGCGTTTAGTCTCATTGCACTTTGAGTGGTGATTTTTATTCTTATACTGTTTGACTACAGTAGCTCTTTGTTATTGGGGAGGTAGCCAGAGGTCCCCCTCCAAATTCCCATATGGAATTCTCAGGCTTGGTTTTATGGATGAGGAGGAGCCAGCTTTATTAGTTGAGGGTTTAATCCTGCCTGATATGTTGGTTTTATAGATATAATCTGTGACCTACTCCTTGCTGCCACTGTCTATTTATATGATGCCTGTCACCATGGTATCTGAGTACGTGCAGAAATATATTTAGACTAACCTCAACTTGAATATAGAAAGGAAGAAGTCTTGCCTTTCTCATTGCCCTATTTTCAGCAGTCACTATTTTCCACCAAGTTATGGAAAGTTCAAAAGCTCTTCTCTGACCTCTAGGCTACCCAGATCTCCTATTTTGAGTAAAAGGTTGGGTCTTAAAACTCTCCTCTGATAAGATAGGAGAGTTGAGTCAGATAACTGAGTTTTAGGGTAGGATCCTAGTGAAATAGTTCTTTACCTTGGAGAATATAATGAAAGATATGATCTTTGCATCCGGAAAAATGTCCATTTGCACATACGTATTTTGCATATAATTTCAGAGGGTTCATGGACCTTCTTCTGAAGCCCATCCATGATCCCGTGTTAAGAATCCTGTCTTAATTTTAGGTTCCATGGCCTCCCAATTCTGTTTTCACAGAACATCTTAATACTTGGTTAAATAGTTTCTCTTTATTTACTGACTGTGCTGCATTCCTCCTGGGAACTTTAGCTTAGTATTTTCTCTCAACTTCTGGAGGCTAAAGACCTTGTTAGTCACTATGTTTTGTTTCCTACACAGGAAACAAACACACTATGTGTGTTTCCTATACATTCCTACAGAACTTTGGGCTTCTATTTTAGCATATCACATTGTTTTGCTATGTTTGCATATGTCTGTACAATGATTTGCTTAAATATCTATCTTTCCTCTTAAAAAAAAATTCCTGGAGGGCAGGGCCTGTGTTTTAATCATTGTTTTATTCCTAGCACACTACTTGGCTTGTAATAGGGGCTCAGAAGACATTTGAATGAATAAATGAATGGATGCATGGGTATGTAGAATTTCCATTAATGATGAATCAGCATTCTCTTAAAGCAGCACAATGTTGTGTTTGGACCTCAAAAAAAAAAATTAGGATATTTGTTGTCATGTTTCTTTTTCTTTTTTATTCTTTTTAACATCCTTATTGGAGTATAATTGCTTTACAATGTTGTGTTAGTTTCTGCTGTATAACGAAGTGAATCAGCTCTGTGTATACATATATCCCCATATCTCCTCCCTCTTGCATCTCCCTCCCACCCTCCCTATTTCACCCCTCTAGGTGGTCACAAAGCACCGAGCTGATCTCCCTGTGCTATGCAGCTGCTTCCCACTAGCTATCTGTTTTACATTTGGTAGTGTATATATGTCAGTGCTACTCTCTCACTTCTTCCCAGCTTACCCTTCCATCATGTTTCTTTTGAGCTGACTTCATCACCTTTTTATTTGAGTTGTTGTAATTTCAACAACAGTGGTAATTTCTCTTTCCTTTGTCTCTTTCTTCCTTACCTACAGATAGATGGATTGCTTTTAACCAAGTGAAAATGGAAACTTAGATGGTTTCTAAGCCATTAACCAAGTAATGAGCAGAATGTTTAGAGGGAAGCATGTAGTTGTTAG